ATTATTATTATTATTATTATTATTATTATTATTATTATTATTATTATTATTATTATCATTATTATTATTATTACTATTATTGTTATTATTGTTGTTAATTCACTTATTTCTTCATACACATAATACTTCACATTTTATTTTCATCTTCCCAATCTACCTATCAAATGACTTCAACTGCTTCTCATTTACTATAATTATTTCCCTCGCAACGTTTACGAATCCAAAAAGAATTACTGATTAACTCTCTGTAGAAATTTTGAAGAAAGTTTCGATGATGAATCAGATGAATGAATAAAGTTTTGATAAAATTGAAAATTTTGTGAGGTTGTTATCAACACGAAACAAATCAACAATATTCAAACGTTTTTGGACGTTATTAACGAACGAATCGGTTTAACATACGGTGCAAAAAGACTTTATACGATTAGTGGGCAACTTATCAAATCGTTGGATCAAATCGAAAATGATAAAGTTAGTTCTATTGTCAATTAACTACTTTTACTCTTCATCATCAAGCTTTCAGCTTGCATTCATTGTACTTTTCTCGATATAGAATTGTATGATGCACTTTAATAGCATAACTTAAAAGCATTTCCACTGATGAATATGAAAAATTTAATACGTTGCGCGCTCATAATAAGGTTTGTTCAATACATCGATGTTTTCTTGCTAGCATCGTGCAGAACAGATTCGTTACGACAAGAAAAATATGTACTCTGTCGACAGATAATGCCCCTCGTTCCTCAGATAAAACCTGATTTCTAAAAGTGTATCGTATAGCTAGGCAAAATTCATTGTGCCGTCCGCCTCTCCTTATATAGTTGATCAGTAATAGTTAATCAATAATTCCGCTCGATTTTCTTAATAACTCATTGAAATCAGCGAATTTATGAATGAACTGACCTGTTCAGCAATCACTGACCCAACAGCTACCGCTTGGTAGTGAATTTGCAGGATTTTTAGAATCTGACCAAAATTCTGAACTATTAATTTTTTCGATTTTTTGGATCTTCCATAGCGCATTTTCTATTCGGAAATCACTGAAATTCTTCTGTCGTGGTCCATCAGATTTACAAAAGCTCTCAAGTGATATCTTGTTCTGTTCCACACGTCAACTCTCTAGTCCAGATACCGGACACCGAAATTCCGAATTTTCTGATCATGACGGTTTTTATGGAATATTTGTGGGATTTCTCGCGAAAAAATTGGCCTTCCATTCCAACAATTTTGTCACTCATCGATTCACCAGAAAATTACCAAACTGCGACATTTTGAGGAGTCTGTAATGGAGAAATGGCTTTCGTAATTAATTTCAAACATTGGATTAATGCAACGATAGTCACAAGTTCAATTCCTAAAGGGTCACTATAATTTTTGCAAATGTGTTAACTACGTCACATAGCATATCATGTTCAGGAACCTCGCATTCTCAGCTTCGTTAATAATTGAAATAATTTCTTATGCAATTTAGATCGAATATATCCTGAGCTAAAAGAAAACTATATATGTCCTGGAACGAAAATGTCTAGTTCCGGAGATGTAGCTGTTTTTTAAAGGTATTTACTCAATATGGGATTATCACAATCGTTGTTTTCGAACCACCTGCGTGCTTAACTTTCTCTTGCCCAGTATCGCGATGCTTTTTTGGTTCCATCGAATAAAGTAAATTCACCACTATCAGGAAGGTATTTATGTTGTTGAAGGATAATCCATAGTTCCCAAAATACAGCTAAATTTCCGAATGTATGTCACATAGCTGAACAGAGTCTATGCTGAACAGACCTTATACCATGAAAATGCATGCATCTGATCTGTTGGATGAACAGTAGATGAATAATGAGGACAGTGATATTAGAACAACAACGATAGATGCATAAAACATCAGCGGTTCATTTGTAACGCCTGCTCAAGAGCACACGAACAAATCGTAATGATCAGATGCTGAATTTCAATTTCAGGAATATGTTGCTGCTACTAATGTGTTTACACCGTTGAATTATGGTCAATCACGAAGCAGATTACCGTTTCATCATACCAATGAAATTACAAAGCTGAAATTAAATTCAGATTCGGTATGCAGCCGAATTAATCAGCGCTTCTTTAAGTTTCATTGAACTGAAACAGATTTTGATAGAATTTGTGATCGCATTCATTGCACTATTTTGATGTGTAGTTATCGTAATTAATTGCAGTCAACATCGTCGCCATCCAATCAATATACAAAACAATCGTTACGAGTTTCGAGGAGTAACGAACCCACAGGAAGAAAGAAAGATAGACGCGATCTGTCGAAGACACGCAATGCCTCTTTAGCACCACCTTCAGTTAGAAACGTTCGTTATTAATGTTGTTAGCACTATTGTCTCTTGCTGCTATTATTATCATTGTCATTCTAATGCTTACTATCCTCATCACTATTATAATTTTCACCATTACCATACATTATTGCTGTATTATGATGGATGTTGTTGTTACTAATAGTTAAATGAGAACTTTACAGGTAATCTCCAACGCACACCAAAACGATACTAACAGTAACGGTGCATTGGTCAATTCAAAAAATAAGCTCATAAAACGCAAACTGTGAGCAATATATAGATCATTTTCAGAAATTGTTTTCTCTTAAAACATGTTTTACCAAAAAATGTTTTGATACAAATTGCAATAAATGAAATAAATATCTAATGAATAAACATGTGAAAACAAAGTTTGCAATGAATAAAAATATGAAATGATAAATGGTTGACATAATTAGATGTATACTGATGTTTATCATAATTTCTAATTTGACCTCGTTTTTTTTTTCATCACTTCGATCGCTTTTTGCATTAAATAGACAAAACGATTGAATTGCAGTGAAATGACGATCGTACATAGAGTGATTCTTTTTGGATATGTTTTGAATGCTGGTATTCTGGCCACTTTTACGGCAAAACAATCCACTTTCAAACCTCAACGACTCTCATAATTTTTTCTTGGGGATGGGTAAATAAGGTCGTTTCCAGGGCATGTATCCACATCAATAAAGGGCGTTTGAATCTACCAATAAACGCTCGTGAGACATGTGCTGGATTTAACTTGAAATTTTGCAATTACCCGCTTTGCAAGTTACACACACAAAAAAAAGCCCCAACAACGCGTTGTTCATTATTTTTCAGATCGCCGAAGACGAGTGCTATTTCAAATGACAACTTGACGGCAACAACAACAAATGCCAGCATCCTCAAACCAATTCTCTCAAAGCAGTCGTCCACTCCAAAAACGCACCATCCGGATGTTGACGATAGCATTGCGAGAGGAGTGTCTAGCTCGAATTGTCAGAAAACAAAAAAGACGAAGAGAAAGAAAATTGGAACAAAGAAGAAAGGTGCTTGATCGTTTAAACTGATTATTGTGATTACAATTACCCTCACGATTACAATTCAATATTTTTGTTGAGTGCTTTTTTTACATTCTTGTTGTGTGAGGCTATGGTAGATGAGTTGCTAACGGTTTTTGTTTCACTGATATCCATTCATATTACAGAAGTGGATTTGGCCGATCAACTGGTTCATCATAAGAGCTCATCATCAGCCAGTCAATCAACAACTACAACAACAGTAACAGATGCACTTATCGGCGAATCTGAAACGACAAACAAAGATAACCAGAGACAATCTTCCGAAAATATTGACAATCCGAATTTGGTCGATAATGAAGACGCTCCAGAACAATCAGAAGCAGCAGCAACAGCAGCAGCAGCAACAACAACAACAGAACAACAAAGTATTCTTCCAGCACCGTTGATCGCTAAAAATTTCGATTCGCACGAAGAGGAGCGGCCGAAATCTCATCCTGAAGACAGCCATCCACAGCAACAACAAGAAAAAGATCACGAATCTGTTAATACTGAAAATTCTGCACATTCTCAACAAACATTCGATAGCGACCATCATAATGATGATAATAACACCAATAATAATAATAATAATAATAATGATAATAATAATAATAGTAATAGTAATAATAATAATAGTAACAATCATAATGACAATAATACGGAAATGGTAAGTAAATGTGAATCAAAACAGTCACCATCATCATCAGAAGAGGAAGCAGAAGAAGAACGACAAGAGGATGCAAAAGAAGTGGAAGTAGAAGATACTGCGAACAGTTTTCATCACCAGAAGAATGACAACTCAAATAGTAACGAGGACAAAAACGAAAACGAAAAAGTCTCAACTGTGGAACGGAGCGATTCACAAGAAGGTAACACTTGCACCAATTCAATCGCATTCTTAGATTGACTTTGAGATTCACGTTCAGTTTCAGCAACTAAAGATAATGGCAGCAGTAGAAGCACCACACCAGCCGCCAACAACGTTCGTCATATCACCCCCACCACTAACCACAATCGTAATTGCTCATTCACTCATTTTATACATGTCCATTCGTTCTTTGAACTGAACTGGTGTGCTATGGGGACCTAAAACAGTCGAAATTTGTAGTCGAGAACCCCAAAAATGTGGTAGTCCTGAACAATTTTGGGGTCTGGGTGGGCGAAGTGAGGAATGGGATCCCCGAAATTCCCTATCCCTTCAGCATACTAATTTGAACTAAATTGAATATTCTATTGGTTATGGAGCCGATTACATTGTTGCTTTGAGTATCACATTCTTTGCTAACAACTTTTAAGTCAAACTGAATTGAATCAAATCAATAAATTTGAATTCCTCCAAAAGAATCACCTCACAAAATACGCCTTTATGTCGTATTAAACTTTACGAACGAACGCACACGATGTTTCCATATTTCAATTCCTTTTTTTTGAATGAGAAGCTCGTAAGAGTTCTCATTTCAGAATCTCAAGAAGAAAACGATGAACAAAGTCAGCCCATCAATAAGCCAATGATGGTGACCGATGGGACTGTTGCTGCCGCTGATCACGATGAAAAACTGTTGAAGGGTTAATCAAATTCAGAGTATTCGAGAATAATAATTGTTGTGGTGTGATTGATTACTAATTACCAGTTCGTTTTATTGTGCTGGATATTGTTTGTTGAGGTATGATAAATATATTAAACGGGTTGCCAAATAAACTGACTTATTCATTTTTTTTAACGGACGTGCAAACACATCAATGTCCACAGTGCATCCATCCACCCACCCTCTTTCTCCTCATTAACTCGCACTTCTCCGCAAAACTTCACATTTGGTGTTTGCTTTCCTCATGAATGTCGACTAATAACAGTACTACCACTGCTACTACTAGTAGTACCATTAGCAAACTATTATATGCGTTACCCTTATTTTTAGGAAACTAAGCGACAATTTCATTTCAATGAAATTCTCTGTCGACTTTGAGTCAGCTCCAAACACTCGATAATTCAACTGTTCGTTAGGAATCATTATCTGTTCAGTTGTTTCTTGATAAATAGGGTGAATTTCTGGTTGATTCGATTAATTACTGATCGTGAGAGTAATTCTGATTACTAGTCGATGTTGTCGTAGTCAGACCCTGTCGGCTCATCCCAGATTCAGCTGAGCTTAAATCCAGACTAATAAAGAGTCACGATCGAAAGACTTGTGTCTAGTCATTAAATCATTTCCTAAAACTTTGTTGCGGTTTAGAATTCAGCATCTGAATTTAAAACAGTCATTATCGAAGAGGTCGAAATATGAAGGAATAATTAGAACATATAATAAACACACAACAGCAGTAGAAATTAATTCATTCGTTAAAACATACATGTAAAGCGGGCGACTTTGAATGATACAACCACCTTAAAATTTTAGGAAACAAATTTCACGAATAAAAGACAGATAAACAGAAAAACAAATTGTTTCCATATATGCGAACGATCCCCCCCCCCCCCCCTCCTCCGAGTTAACGATAAAGAAAGCAGTGATCACAATAAATTCATTAATTAAACTTACATCAGATCGATGAGCGATAAAGGGAAAACGGAACGAGATCATAAACAAATGATGCTTGTACAAACATGTAAATAAAGTAGTAATGATTAGATCCATGAATATATACTCATAAATAAGCAAATCCAATTTTTAAAAAAATGTAAAGATGAGATGAAAAACTGGCCAAAATGATCCGCGGCCAATAAACGAAAAGAAGCCTAGCACACCGATTCACTGGAATATTCGAAAGTAACAATAAACCAAATCATGGGACAAATTTCAAGAAAAGATAATACACCAAAAATACATTGAAAGGTATTTTGTGATATTGATACAAGTGCATCAACGATAGCAATTCAAATAACAACAACAACAAAAGCATTGCACAACATTTAAGAACAGAAAACATGATAATAGGGCAATATTTTACTGGAAATATTCCATTTGGATGCGAAACTTTCAACCAATGAATACAGAAAGTGTGAAATGATTAATGGTTAAGAGTCCTTGATTAGACATGTTCAGTCCCTTTGAGCGACAATATTCAAAGAGGTCATTTCTACTAAATCGCTTACAACCATGCACCACGATACCGACATCTTGTTGCGGATTCTGCGACCATCTCTCGACAACCGCACCAATACCACTGATCGTTACTTGTGATGTCGCTACATCCAACGTTTCCAGTACTAACTTATCGGCACTAAAATTGCTCGTAATTATTTCAGAACTTAAATTCTGTGCTGCTAAACCATTCATTATCTCCGTTAAAATTAAATTCCATGGGCTAACAATCGGACAACAAGCAAAACACAATTATTCAAACAAATTCTTCGCATTTCTCTCAAATGTATAAAATCAAATTTTCATTACCGCATATAATCAACTGTTCAAATGAAAATATTTCCTGCACAACCATCTCACTGTAACATGAATTTACTCATCTACTCATCCACTTACCCAGCAATACACAACAACGTTTTGTCCGAAATGTGGTAACGTCCCGAACGTCCATCATTCCATATCCGCAATGCTGTCAAATTTGGAACTACAGATCTGAAATTTAGCAACAATAAAACTCCCAAATTCTTTCAACTTGAGTTTTTTCTCTGACCTCGTATTTTCTCTGAAGAAAGAAAAAGTGCGAAAAATTTTCACAAAAATTCAAAAACACAGTTTCAGCTAAGGAAATCAATTCGAAAAATTCTTGCACAATTTCAATTTAAAAATTCAAGTAAACCCATAAAATCGCCAACAAAACTAACTCAATAAGATCATCGTCGAAAATCGAGATCGGCTGACACTCTTCAAAGCCAACGTCACACAAATAATTCACATTTGCGGCAATATATTCTTTCAGCTAAAAGTCGGAAAATAATATAAAACGACAAAGAACACTCATACAAAACCAGGAATTACCTCCCACTATCCACGATACAATTTCTGTTTTCATCAAGAGAACAACAATTTCGCCGACCGAACAACAACAAAAAACTGTTTTTAACTTATTACAAATTGGGCTGAAAAACAAAACAAGCAAGAATAGAAATCGAATAGAAAATTAATGTATGTGAAACAAACTAATTGACGTGATGCAACACTGAATTCGCACCATAGAAAATAGATTTGAGTTGGCTGAAGGCTCAGCGTTAGCAATCTGAAAACGGTGACAATCACAAACTGCACTCAATATTAAAATGAATAATCGGAAACTGGCAAAACTGAAACGCAAAACAAACTTTTGCAACACGGGTATCGCTTCAATGGGTATTAAGCCACGAATGAATAACGACGATGTGGAAAAATGCTTCAGTTTTAATGCAAGCATCTGAAAAATGACAAATGAGAAAGGAACAAAAAATTTTATGAAACGAAAAATTTTTATTAGTGAGGTGAAAAATCGTTGAAGCAAGTTTAAAATGTTTTCTTCTTTCATTGATTACCACAAAATGTTGTCATTCAAGCAATAAAAAATCTCGAGAAAGAATTTATACTGACTTGTATAGTGGGCATTACGAAACGTGACGGAGCCAACTTCTCGTCAGTTGGATAGATCATCAATTCACCCTCATCGAAATGCAATTTTACCTGAACTTATACGAATATATGATTGAACAGATGAACAAACACACCAAATACTCGGTAAACGAATGAAAGTAGAAATAATTTCAGTAATGCACAAAAAATTCTTTGCTCCATCAGCAAAACATTACCTGATCAACGTGATATTTTGGTAGTTTTTGGACGTTTGCAGCAACAAAACGCTTCAACTTGGAAGAGCAACGTTCAAGATTGACAACCGAACATGCGTCTAACCATGTAAAAATCTTCAGTAAAATCTCGTCGTCGAATGTCTTCAATGAAAAAATTTTTCGACGAGTGAAATTTAAGAAACGAATTGAGCGACTCGTTTCAAAAATATGAATTCAACATGAAAGATATGAGGAAGTATTCGAGGATTTTTGAATAAAATGAATTGTTTGGTAAAACGACTGACTGCATAGGAAGAGCACTGCTCGCGGCAAAAAAAGGTTGGAAAGCTCCTAAAATTGCAAGCATTAAAACAAAACAAATGGGTATTTTCTCAATACCTCAATTAAACTTTTTTTCGGCAATTCTTTTGCGTGCATCACATATAACGGTGCGTATATTCGAGATGAGCAACTTCTTGTCCCATTATCCACTTTAAACCGACGAAAACAATAATCGATGGCGGTCAAGAAGAGCGTCAACAGATGGCCAAATAAACGACGCCAAAGATTCCTGTCAAATCAAAGAAATACATTCGAACTGTTAAACGGAAAGTGAAATTGGAGATAGATGAAGAAGAAGAATAATGAAAATGACTTACCATAAAATGGATAATAAATGCTTTTGTTTGGAAATGGAACAGCTCTTTTTTGTGTCTTTTTGTGCCTTTGAATATGAGCTTATCTCAGTTTCCATTGAAACTCGTCCACTGCCAACACCCTTCCAATGAAGTCCCATCGGTCGATACGGTCTATATGCGCCATTAGCAGCCGCTGTTACACTAATCATCGTCCAACTAATCGTTTATTTTTTTCCACTAAATAGCTGGTAATCCTTTAGTTCAGCTGATTCATAAAAGAAGTATGGTTCTTGATTCTTGATTCGGGCTTCCGTTGGATTGATGCATTTTTAGAACTGATCGTCACGGCCCATCTCACAACCACTCGATGCTGTTACCAAATATGACGGGTATAATTGCTGTGGATGAAAGACCACTGAATCCTTAAGAATTGACGAATCAATCATACCACCGAGGTAATCCTGCAGTATAGGTCAAAGAAAAAGGGGGTGTGGTCTAACATACACAGAACACGCCTCAGCCACCGAACGCATGAAGACATTCTGCCACAGCTACCTTCGCACATGTTCAACTGCTTTCTGGAACGATGAAGAGCATTTCGAGTGAAATTAACTCAGTTTGAATAAGTGAGCATGCTTGCAGCTAAGTGTGATCTATGCAACGAGAAATAAACCAATGATAAACACTAAACAATAACTGAGTATAGTTTGGATTCATATTGCGGATGTAATCAATTTCCCTGAGGTGAAAAATAGAATACAATCAAGAATTACAAATTTGTACTTGAAGCTGAAGAGTATTGACGTAGTGTGCACTAGAAGTCACATGCATACTACTAACAACTGAAATGAATCCGTGCTGAATAGCAATACAGACACAATATATTGGAATGAGCCACTCAGCTACGTGAGATGGCTTTAGGAAATCGTTGATATTAACATCTTACACCAATGTGTTCTCCATATGACGGAATTTCGCAGTAGGCTTCTAAATGTACTGCGTCAAAAGCAGTCGGTTAACCCCGGAGGTATTACTGCTGTTGGTTGCATTAGATGTGGGCGTGGCTAGTTACCGTAGTCATTTAACCCTGAGGGTACTACTCCTGTTGGTTGCATTAACTTTGGGTGCGGCTAGTTACCGTAGTCATTTAGCCCCGGAGCTAATGCACATAAATTTTATCGAGCATTTCTGCCGGCATGAGGAGATATATAGCTATCTCAACTAGCGCAGTGGCGACATAGCACCATAAGAGTTCACATATTCAAGCTACCGTATTCTCAGGTTTGCCCAGTAACATATTTACACCATTCGATTACTCAGAACCCCTGGATTCAGAATGTCATATATTTTGTTAAGCAGTTCTGCTTACATGATAAGATGTAGCTATTTTTTAAAGCTATCTCAAAAAGCGCAGAGGCACTCATTCAATACACTGTATCTCTATAGATCAATGCATACATTACTACAACGCAGTATAACATATGAATTTCTTTACACTATTCGATTCCTCAAAACCTCTGGTTTCAGAATAAGAGGTATTGTACCAAGCAATAATGATTACATGAGGAGATATGGATATTTTCGCATTTCTATAAGGGTTGCCATTT